ACCAGTGCAGTCTGGTTCTGACCTCCTCAAACTGGTAGAAACCGGTTCAGAGTGGTTCAAACTGGTTCTGACCAGCTCAAACTAGTTCTGAGACTGGTTCAAAGTGTTTCTAACCAGTGCAGTCTGGTTCTGACCTCCTCAAACTGGTAGAAACCGGTTCAGAGTGGTTCAAACTGGTTCTGACCAGCTCAAACTAGTTCTGAGACTGGTTCAAAGTGTTTCTAACCAGTGCAGTCTGGTTCTGACCTCCTCAAACTGGTAGAAACCGGTTCAGAGTGGTTCAAACTGGTTCTGACCAGCTCAAACTAGTTCTGAGACTGGTTCAAAGTGTTTCTAACCAGTGCAGTCTGGTTCTGACCTCCTCAAACTGGTAGAAACCGGTTCAGAGTGGTTCAAACTGGTTCTGACCAGCTCAAACTAGTTCTGAGACTGGTTCAAAGTGTTTCTAACCAGTGCAGTCTGGTTCTGACCTCCTCAAACTGGTAGAAACCGGTTCAGAGTGGTTCAAACTGGTTCTGACCAGCTCAAACTAGTTCTGAGACTGGTTCAAAGTGTTTCTAACCAGTGCAGTCTGGTTCTGACCTCCTCAAACTGGTAGAAACCGGTTCAGAGTGGTTCAAACTGGTTCTGACCAGCTCAAACTAGTTCTGAGACTGGTTCAAAGTGTTTCTAACCAGTGCAGTCTGGTTCTGACCTCCTCAAACTGGTAGAAACCGGTTCAGAGTGGTTCAAACTGGTTCTGACCAGCTCAAACTAGTTCTGAGACTGGTTCAAAGTGTTTCTAACCAGTGCAGTCTGGTTCTGACCTCCTCAAACTGGTAGAAACCGGTTCAGAGTGGTTCAAACTGGTTCTGACCAGCTCAAACTAGTTCTGAGACTGGTTCAAAGTGTTTCTAACCAGTGCAGTCTGGTTCTGACCTCCTCAAACTGGTAGAAACCGGTTCAGAGTGGTTCAAACTGGTTCTGACCAGCTCAAACTAGTTCTGAGACTGGTTCAAAGTGTTTCTAACCAGTGCAGTCTGGTTCTGACCTCCTCAAACTGGTAGAAACCGGTTCAGAGTGGTTCAAACTGGTTCTGACCAGCTCAAACTAGTTCTGAGACTGGTTCAAAGTGTTTCTAACCAGTGCAGTCTGGTTCTGACCTCCTCAAACTGGTAGAAACCGGTTCAGAGTGGTTCAAACTGGTTCTGACCAGCTCAAACTAGTTCTGAGACTGGTTCAAAGTGTTTCTAACCAGTGCAGTCTGGTTCTGACCTCCTCAAACTGGTAGAAACCGGTTCAGAGTGGTTCAAACTGGTTCTGACCAGCTCAAACTAGTTCTGAGACTGGTTCAAAGTGTTTCTAACCAGTGCAGTCTGGTTCTGACCTCCTCAAACTGGTAGAAACCGGTTCAGAGTGGTTCAAACTGGTTCTGACCAGCTCAAACTAGTTCTGAGACTGGTTCAAAGTGTTTCTAACCAGTGCAGTCTGGTTCTGACCTCCTCAAACTGGTAGAAACCGGTTCAGAGTGGTTCAAACTGGTTCTGACCAGCTCAAACTAGTTCTGAGACTGGTTCAAAGTGTTTCTAACCAGTGCAGTCTGGTTCTGACCTCCTCAAACTGGTAGAAACCGGTTCAGAGTGGTTCAAACTGGTTCTGACCAGCTCAAACTAGTTCTGAGACTGGTTCAAAGTGTTTCTAACCAGTGCAGTCTGGTTCTGACCTCCTCAAACTGGTAGAAACCGGTTCAGAGTGGTTCAAACTGGTTCTGACCAGCTCAAACTAGTTCTGAGACTGGTTCAAAGTGTTTCTAACCAGTGCAGTCTGGTTCTGACCTCCTCAAACTGGTAGAAACCGGTTCAGAGTGGTTCAAACCGGTTCTGACAGGTACAGGCCGGTTCAAGGTGGTTCAGACCAGTTTTGACTGGTTGAAAGTGGTTCTAACCGGTTCAGTCTGGTTCTGACCACCTCAAACTGGTAGAAACCGGTTCAGAGTGGTTTAGACCAGTTCTGACCGTGTCAGGCTGGTTCAAACTGGTTCAGACCAGTTTTAACTGTTTCAAAGTGGTTCTAACCAGTTCAATCTGGTTCTGACCAGCTGAAAATGGTATAAACCGGTTCAGAGTGGTTCAAACTGGTTTTGACAGGTTCAGGCCAGTTCAAGATGGTTCAGACCCTTTTTAACTGTTTCTAAATGGTTCAATCTGGTTCTGACCAGCTGAAACTGGTATAAACCCGTTCAGAGTGGTTTAAACCGGTTTTGACAGGTTCTGGCCAGTTCAAGCTTCTTTAGACCACTTTTGACTTGTTCAAAATGGTTCTAACTGGTTCAGTCTGGTTCTGACCACCTCAAACTGGTAGAAACCAGTTTAGAGTGGTTCATACTGGTTCTGACAGGTTCAGGCTGGTTCAAGCTGGTTCAGACCGGTTTTGACTGGTTCAAAGTGGTTCTAACTGGTTCAATCTGGTTCTGACCACCTAAAACTGGTATAAACTGGTTCAGAGTGATTCAAACTGGTTTGACAGGTTCTGGCCGGTTCAAGCTGGTTTAGACCACTTTTGACTGGTTCAAAATGGTTCTAATTGGTTCAGTCTTGTTCTGACCACCTCAAACTGGTAGAAACCTGTTTAGCCTGGTTCAAACCAGTTCTGACAGGTACAGGCTGGTTCAAGCTGATTTAGACCACATTTGACTTGTTCAAAGTGGCTCTATCTGGTTCAATCTGGTTCTGACCAGATCAAACTGGTTAAAAAGCTGTTCAGAGTGGTTCAAACTGATTCTGAAAGGTACAAGCCAGTTCAAGCTGGTTCAGTCCAGTTTTGACTGGTTCAAAGTGATTCTAACTGGTTCATTCTGGTTCTGACCAGCTTAAACTGGTTTAAACTGGTTCAGAGTGGTTCAAACCGCTTCTGACAGGTTTAGTCTGGTTCCAGCTCATTCAGACTGGTTATTAACTGGTTCAAAGAAGTCCTAACTGGTTCAAACTGGTTCTGACCAGCTCAAACTAGTTCTGATAAGTTCTGACCAGATCAAGTTGTTTCTGACTGGTTCAGGCTGGTACAAGCTATTTATGACTGGTTTTAGACTGGCTCTGGCCAGCTCAAACCAGTTCTCACTATTTCAGACAGTTTCCAACATGTTTTGACTGGTTTAAACTGGCTCTGACCAGTTCAGACTGGTTCTGACTGATGCTAACTGGTTCAAACTGATTCTGACAGGTTCAGGCCGGTTCAAGCTGGTTCTGGGCAGTTTTGACTGGTTCAAAGTTGTTCTAACTGGTTCAAACTAGTTCTAACCAGCTCAAACTGGTAAAAAAAATTCTGGTTCAGACCTGCTCAAATTGGTTCTGATAAGTTCAGGCCGGTTCAAGCTGGTTCAGAACCCTTTTGTCTGGTTTCAAGTGTTTCTTACTTGTTCAAACTGGTTCTGACCGGTCAAAGTAGCTCTGATAAGTTCAGACCATATCAAGCTGTTTCAGAATGTTCCAGGCTGGTACAAGCTATTTATGACTGGTTTAGCCTGGCTACGGCCAGCTCAAACTGGTTCTCACCATTTCAGACATGTTCCAACAGGTTTTGATCAGTTCAAGTTTTCTCTGACCAGTTCAAACTGGCTCTGACCTCTTTTGATGGGATCAAACTGGTTCTGACCCGTTCAGACTGGTTCTGACCATCAAAACTGGTTCAAAATGGTTCTGACCAGCTCAAACTGATTAAAAAAAAAAAAGGTTCATACTGGCTCAAACTTATTTTGACAGGTTCAGGCCAGTTCAAGCTGATTCAGACCAGTTTTTACTGGTTCAAACTGGTTTTGACTGGTTCAAACTGGTTCAACCAGGTTTTGACTGGTTGATACTGACTTCAATCCAGTTCTGCCAGTACAAACTGTTTCTGACAAGTTCCATACAACAGTTCAAACTGGTATGAGCTGGTTCTGTCTGGTGCAAACTGGTTTAAACCTGCATGAACCATTTATGACCTGAAATTTTAGACCAGCTCAAATTTGACTGCTACTGCTTAGAACCAATCTGAACAGGTCTGAACCAGTTTGAACTGCTCTGTACCAGTTTGAACTGATCTAAACCAGCCTGAACCAGTCTTAACCAATTTGAACCAATCAGAACCAGTTTTAACTGGTATGAACTGGTCAGAGTCAGTCTGAAACCTGTTTGAGCCAGTCTGAACCAGTCATAAGTTATTTGTACTGGTCATGACTAATTTGAATCTGTCTGGACCAGTTTGAATTGGTCTGAACTGGTCTGAACTACTCATAACTGCCTTAAACTGGCCAAGACTAGTTTGAACTGGTCAGATCCAGTTTGAACCATTCTGAACTAGTTTGAATTGGCCAGAACTGGTCTGAACCACTTTAAACTGGTCAGAGTCAGTCATATCTTGTTTGAACTGGCCAGAACTGGTTTGAACGGGATCTGACTGGCTCTATTTGGTCTAATTCAGTTAGAACCAAACTCAATAGGTCTGAACTGGTCTGACTGGTCTAATATAGCTGTAATCAGCTCAATGAGTCTGTACTGATCTATACCAGTCTGAACAGGTCTAAACAGTTTGGACCTGGTCAGAACTGGCCTGAACTGGTTTTAACCAGTCAGAACCAGTCTCAATGAGTCATAGTCAGTATGAACCAGTTTAAACCACTCAGCGCAATCAGAACTGCTTTAAGCCACTCAGAACCTGTCAAAACTAGTTTGAACTGGTCTGAACCATTTGAACCAGTCTGAACCATTCTAAACAGGTCAGAACAAGTCTGAACCTGTCTAAAGAGGTCTGAATCAGTCTAAACCCATCTTAACCAGTCAGAACCAGTCTGAATCAGTCTAAAGAGGTCTGAACTGGTCAAAACTGGTCTAAACCATTATGGGAAACTTGTACATGGACTTTTTTTGGCACCAATGTAATTTTGTACTTTAATTTCCCTATCCTTGAACTTGAAGTCCTTTCATAGTTGTTATCTCCAAAATGTTTTAAATGCATAATTATTTAGACAATTTTTTTTTTTGCAGTACTGACTTTCTGACTAGAATGTGAATGAGGAGAATGCAGAGGCCGTGTCTTTCCATCTTTGTATACCAGAACCTTTTTGTCATTGTAAGTGCTCAGTAAATAATTGTCTGTCTTAGTATGTGCTCAATAAATCAATGCTGCAGAGAAGTAAATAGGGAGGAAAGGGAAAAATTAATTAAAGTCCACGTAAAGCACACTTTTATAAACATAAAAGACATTCAACAGTTAGGTAATCTGCTTTTGAAGTATCTTCTACCAGAGAATATAACTTCTTTCACATGATTTGTGGAATAACTGCCTTTATTTTTGCTGGCACAAAGAATGATTAGAAAACTTTGTCGAGTTTTTGTTCTCTATACAGGTGCCAAAACTAATCTTTCCTTATAATTTATCACATAGCTACTGTATTTTATGATAATATGGTTTGCACAAATTTTCATCTTTCTTCTGGAACACTATTGTTTGTTGTTCTTTGTAAGATTTCAAAATATTAGAATGTATAACAAAATAAGGCAATAGCTGTACTTGGATTGAACCCTGTTTTGCACCATATAGTCTTTCCAAGGTTATGGTTGCACAAAATGCTTAATGAAATTTATTCATAAGCATGAATTGGAAAGATAAGAATGAGTTGAATTTGGCTTTTCAGCTATGTAGCAATGTATTAAATTATGCCTTATGGGGGTGGTACACATACTTTTATCCAGATAATCATATGTCTGGCTCTACAAATAATGTGTGTTTGTTCTTTCAGCTTAGCAAATTATAACATTGGCATTTAGGGGCAGGGTATGGTCTGGATACTGATGTAATTGGCAGTCGATCATAATCTTGACTGTTTTTGATTATATATAATTTATTTTAATTGCAGAATAGTCTAGATTTCAAATTTAACTTTGGTATGGCTTTCATCACAACATAATGGAGAAAAATCACACTAGAATAGGTCTTTATTGACAAAATTTGGTCTATGACAGGTCATTTGATCATTAGCATTCTGTTATAAATAAATCAAAAAGGGATGAGAAATTGGGGTGACTTGATTGGACTTTAAATTTTTTATTTCTAAAGGAATACATATCCGTTTTTAAAAGTAAAACGTGTAAACTATGAAATCATTCATGATTGCAATGATCAGCAAAAAGCTACTTTGTTTTGATGCTTAAGCTTCCAATCTCTTATACATATTTCTATATTGAAAATCAATAACAAAAATTGATGTCAACCTGACCATAATACTTTCTATATTAAGGTGTATTATTCTGAGAGACTAAATCAAAACAGAATGAGTAAAACTGTGCATTTATTTCTTTGTCTATGTTCCTCTACTAGAATGTAAATTCCACAAGAACAATAATTCCTTTTTAAACTCTTTGCCTAAAACAGTAACTGACACATACTTGCCTGACAAATATTTGTCCAATAAGTGGATTAATAATGAACATTTTCATGTTATATTATAAATAAACTCCAACTTTAGCATTTAAAAATAGTTTTACTGACTGTGAGATTGTACTATAATTAACTAAACTTCATTTGATGACATATATGTTCTTCTTATATGAAAATAACATCTTCCCCCATATTCTATTAATATTACCTTTTTTTTTATTTTGAGAAGTTTTTGCTATAGGGCATGTGCACTTGCCAGAAAGACAGAGAGATACAGAGAGACAGAAAGCGAGAAATCATCCCCCACGGGGGATGGCCACACCACAATCCCTTCTCCTCCATTCTCCTCTCGGGATTTTGGGCATGCACGCACACATGCCTGAGTTGAGTTTAAGCCACTGGGTCCAGGACTTGAACCGTGGTCAACTACATGGGAGTCCAGTGACATAGTCATTATGCTAACTGCTGGTCCCAGTATTAACATTTTTATTATTTTTATTTTTACTCATGATAAAGCATGCATATATATGACACTGAGAGAGAGAAATGGGGAGAGAGAGCGAGAGAAGGCGAGAGGAGTACCTTTCACAGGATCTGGTTATGGATGATCACTTTCTCTAGTTGTCCAGCCCATTAGGTTTTTGGCACTCATACATATGCCAGGAATGTTTTAGACAGATTGGCCCAGGGATTTAAACCAGGGTCACCATGTGAGATCTGACCTCTCTTGAACAGTAGTATACTACTTCCACAGCACACAGCCAGACAGACCTCCTTTTTTTTTTTCCCAAACCAGTCATGGTCTTTTATTATTATTTTTAAAGTATCATATAGTGGTCTTAGAAATTGTCTGGCTTATTACTGTAGCTGAAGAACTCTTAGATCTTACTCATCAGTTTGCTAAACTTCTCTTTTCAGAGACATAGATAGCATCCAAGAATTTTCTTGTATCTTTATTTTTAACTGTCCTGGCTTGCTGTATCAAAGCAGCTGATTTTGAAAGAAGTTCAGTATCACTGGGACAAGCTGTTAGCATAATGGCTATGTCGCTGGACTCCCATGTAGTCAACCGCAGTTCGCGTCCTGGACCCGGTGGCTTAAAACTCACGCCGGGCGTGTGTGTGTGCGTGCCCAAAATCCTGAGAGGAGAATGGAGGAGAAGGGATTGCAGCGTGGCCATCCCCTCAGGGGGTGATTTCTCGCTTTCTGTCTCTCTGTCTCTCTCTGTCTGTCTGGCGAGTGCATGTGCCCTATAGCAAAAACCTCTCCAAAAAAAAAAAAAGAATAAAAAGTTCGGTATCACTGACTTCAAGAATCAACTCATCTTTCTGGGCTTGAGATACTGAATAAGCAACACCTGGTCTCATTTGAACCCTCCGATGTATTTTTGACCCAAGAAAGTTTGAATTTCAACAAGAGACCCACTCTCCTGAATAACAATGTTGATGGGGAAAGGAGCGCACACAGACCTCATCTTGTAACAGAAGCCCAGGGTAACACCCTTGGTCATGTTCTGTACATGACTACAGATGTTGAGAAGAGTTGCCAGATCCTTTCTGTTTCCTCATCATTTGTCAACCTGCAACCTCTTCTTTTTCTTTCCCAGGTGTTTGAGCTCTACATTATGGGATTGAAGTCCCTCAGCAGGGTTCTTCTAGAGTCCTTCACAGCCTCTGTGCGTCCCTTCAGAGCGATATCAACATTCTCTGGAATG